GAGTGAAACTCCATCTCAAAAAAAAAAAAAATTCCATCTCAAAATAATAATAATAGGGCCGGGCGCGGTGGCTCACACCTGTAATCCCAGCACTTTGGGAGGCCGAGGCGGGTGGATCACGAGGTCAAGAGATCAAGACTGCCGGGCACAGTGGCTCACGCCTGTAATCCCAGCACTTTGGGAGGCCGAGGCGGGTGGATCACGAGGTCAACAGATCGAGACCATCCTGGTCAACCTGGTGAAACTCCGTCTCTACGAAAACTACAAAAAATGAGCTGGGCATGGTGGCGCGTGCCTGTAATCCCAGCTACTCAGGAGGCTGAAGCAGGAGAATTGCCTGAACCCAGGAGGCGGAGGTTGCGGTGAGCCGAGATCGCGCCATTGCACTCCAGCCTGGGTAACAAGAGCGAAACTCCGTCTCAAAAACAAAACAAAACAAAACAAAAATAATAATAATAATAGACAAAAAAATTAGCCAGGCATGGTGGTGTGCATCAATATTTGGAGGCTAAGGCAGGAGGATCACTTGAGCCCAGAGTTGGAGGTCACAGAGAGGTATAAATGTGCAGCTACGCTCTAGCCTGGGTAACAGGGCAAGATCCTGTCTTTAAAAACAAGTCCAGGAGCAGTGGCTCACAACTGTAATTCCAGCACTTTGGGAGGCCAAGGTGGGCACTTGAGATCAGGAATTCAAGACCAGTCTGGCCAAGACGGTGAAATCCCATCTCTACTAAAAATACAAAAATTAGCCGAATGTGGTGACATATGCCTCTAATCGCAGCTACTTGGGAGGCTGAGGTAGCAGAATCCCTTAATCCCGGGAGGCAGAGGTTGCAGAGAGCCAAGACAGCACCACTGTACTCCAACCTGGGCGACAGAGCAAGAATTTGTCTCAAAAATAAAGAAAGCAAAAGAAGAAACAATTCATAAGTTTTAAACCCTGAATCACAATGCCTATGTCATTCACCTCATATCTTATATTATCCCGTAAGTATTTTATTAACTCACAACATCACAGGCAGAAGAGTAAGTATAGTACCATAAAATACTTTGAGAGACACTGAAAGACCCCATTCATATAACTTTTATTATAGTATATTGTTAAAATTGTTCTATTTACTTACATAATGAAAGATCCAGAAGAAAAAAATAAAATTGTTCTATTTTATTGGTTATTGTTGTTAATCTTTTTACTGTGCTTAATTTAGAAATTAAATTTTATCATAGGTATACACGTATGTATAGGGAAAAACATAGCATATATAGGGTTTAGTACTATCCCCAGTCTCAGGCATCCACTAGGGATCTTAGAATGTATTTCCTTTAGTGCTCGATACCAGCCTGACCAACACGGTAAAACACCATCTCTACTAAAAATTAAAAAATTAGTCACGCATGGTGGCACACGCCTGTAATCCCAGCTACTCAGGAGGCTGAGGCAGGAGAATTGCCTGAACCCGGGAGGCAGAGGTTGCAGTGAGCCAAGATTACACGACTGCACTCCAGCCTGGATGACAGAGCGACTGCCTCAAAAAAAAAAAAAAAAAAGAATGTATTCCCTTCAGATAACAGAAGACTACTGTACCTTAGAACTTAACTAATCATCTCAACATTCCACTGATTTAAGTCAGGTAGCTTTTATCTTCCTTTTGAGATTGAGCAACCAAAGAACAGATTTGTACAAGGTCACTGCTAACAAGGAGTCAACTTTGTACCAGGTACTACGCTTTAACTAAAAGCACAATGCCAAGGCTTTCATTACATTATTTAATCATTATAACAGCCCTCTAAGGTAAGTACTCTTATTCTATTTTAAGACTGGCAAGGGTGAGCACAGTGGCTCATGTCCGTAATTCCAGCACTTTGGGAGGCTGTGGCAGAAGGACTGCTTGAGCTCAGGAGTTGGAGACCAGCCTGGGCAACAAGGCAAAACTCTGTCTCTATACAAATAATTTTTATTATTTTTTATTTTATTTTATTTTATATTATTTATTTTTTTTTTTTTGAGACGGAGTTTCGCTCTTGTTACCCAGGCTGGAGTGCAATGGCACGATCTCGGCTCACTGCAACCTCCGCCTCCCGGGTTCAGGCAATTCTCCTGCCTCAGCCTCCTGAGTAGCTGGGATTACAGGCACGCGCCACCATGCCCAGCTAATTTTTTGTAGTTTTAGTGGAGATGGGGTTTCACCACGTTGACCAGGATGGTCTCGATCTCTTGATCTCATGATCCATCCGCCTCGGCCTCCCAAAGTGCTGGGATTACAGGCGTGAGCCACCGCGCCCGGCCTTTATTTTATTTTTATTTTATTTTTTTTTGAGACGGAGTTTCGCTCTTGTTACCCAGGCTGGAATGCAATGGCACGATCTCGGCTCACCGCAACTTCCACCTCCCGGGTTCAGGCAATTCTCCTACCTCAGCCTCCTGAGGCGCTGGGATTACAGGCATGTACCACCATGCCCAGCTAATGTTTTGTATTTTTAGTAGAGACGGGGTTTCACCATGTTGACCAGGATGGTCTCAATCTCTTGACCTTGTGATCCACCCGCCTGGGCCTCCTACAGTGCTGGGATTACAGGCTTGAGCCACCGCGCCCGGCCTATTTTTTATTTTAGTTGGAGAGTTGCTGTCACCCAGGCTGGAGTGAAATAGCATGATCTCTGCTCACCACAACCTCCACCTCCTGGGTTCAAGCAATTCTCCTGCCTCAGCCTACAGAGAGGCTAAGATTACAGGCGTGTGCCACCACGCCTGGCTAATTTTTTGTATTTTTAGTAGAGATGGAGTTTCACCATGTTGGCCAGGCTGGTCTCAAATTCCTAACCTCATGTTCTGCCCGCCTCAGCCTCCCAAAGTGCTGGGATTATAGGCGTGAACCACCATGCCCAGCCAAAAAATTTTAAAAAGAGAAAAAGGCTGGGCACAGTGGCTCAGTCCTGTAATCCCAGCACTTTGGGAGGCCCAGGTGGGCTGATCACTTGAGGTCAGGTGTTCGAGACCAGCCCAGACAACATAACAAAACCCCATCTCTACTAAAAACACAAAAATTGGCTGGGTGTGGTAGCATGCGCCTGTATCCCAGCTACAAAGGAGGATGAGGAAGGAGAATCGTTTGAACCTGGAGGGCAGAGATTGCAATGAGCCAAGATCACACCACTCCAGCCTGGGTGAAAGAGCAAGACACTGTCTCAAAAGAAAAAAAAAAAAAGAAAGAAAGAAAGAAAGAAAGAAAAAATAGAGAAACTGAAGCACAGGGAGGTTAAGTAACTTCCCAAATGGCATTTCTTCTTATCACATGGAACTAGGACTCCTATACAATCTTCAAAGTTACACCCATTTCCCAAAAATTTGAACTATCACTTAAGCAATGAAGAAACACACATGGCCAATAAGCATATAAAAGATGTCTTCCTGGGCATGGTGGCTCATGCCTATAATCCCAGCACTTCAGGAGGCCAGGCAGACCAATCACTTGAAGTCAGGAGTTTGAGACCAGCCTGGCCAACATGGAGAAACTCTGTCCCTATTAAAAATACAAAACTAGGCCGGGCGCGGTGGCTCAAGCCTGTAATCCCAGCACTTTGGGAGTCAGAGGAGGGCAGATAACTTCAAGTCCAGAGTTCTTTTTTTTTCCTTTTTCTTTTTTTTCCCCACAGTATTTCAGGACTTTTTCTTTTCTTTTTTTTTTTTGAGACGGAGTCTTGCTCTGTTGCCAGGCTGGATGGAGTGCAGTGGTGCGATCTCAGCTCACTGCAACCTCCGCCTCCCGGGTTCAAGCAATTCTCCTGCCTCAGCCTCCCGAGTATCTGGGACTACAGGCACACGCCACTACGCCCAGCTAATTTTTGTATTTTTAGTAGAGACAGGGTTTCACCATATTGGCCAGGATGGGCTCAATCTCTTGACCTCGTGATCCGCCCACCTCGACCTCCCAAAGGGCTGGGATTACAGGCGTGAACCACCATGCCCAGCCTACTTCTTTCTTTTTTTTTTTTTTCGAAGTCCAGAGTTCAAGACGAGCCTGGGCAACACGGGGAAACCCAGTCTCTATTAAAAATACAAAATATTAACTAGGCATGGTGGCGCACACCTGTAATCCCAACTACTTGGGAGGCAGAAGCAGGTGAATCAATCACTTGAACCCAAGAGGTGGAGCTTGCAGTAAGCAGAGATCCTGCCACTGCACTCCAGCCTGGGCAACAGTGAGACTCCATCTCAAAAAAAGAAAAAAGTAGCCAGGTGTGGTAGCATTCGCCTGTAATCCCAACAAGTTGGGAGGCTGAGTCAGGAGAATCACTTCAACCCAGGAAACAGAGTTTGCAGTGAGCTGAGATCATGCCACTGTACTTCAGCCTGAGTGAGAGAGTGAGACTATCTCAAAACAACAACAAAAAATTAATACTGCTGTAGTTTTCAGATATTATCTTTCTACAATTCCTCTTAATGTGGGGTTTTGTTTGTTTTGAGATAGAAAATGGCATGATCTTGGCTCACTGCAACCTCTGCCTCCCAGGTTCAGGCAATTTTCCTGCCTCAGACTCCTTAGTAGCTAGGATTACAGGTGAGAGCCACCACACCTGGCAAATTTTTGTATTTTAGTAGAGATGGGTTTTCATCATGTTGGCCAGGCTGGTCTCTAACTCCTGACCTCAAGTGATCCGCCCAAAGTGCTGGGATTACAGGCTTGAGCCACCCTGCCCGGTGAATTTTTATTATTTTTTTTTTCTTTTATGAGAGAGTCTCTCTCTAGCTCAGGCTGGAGAGTAGTGGTGTGATCATGGCTCACTGCAGTCTCAATCTCCTGGGCTCAAGCAGTCATCCTGCCTCAACTTCCCTAGTAGCTGGTACTACAGTAGGGCGCCACTGCACAGGAGTATAATGTGGGATTTTTAAATTTTTGAATCTTAAATAACTGATGACAACCCAGAGAAGTAATTAAGGAAGTGTAGAGATTGAAGGCCCAGGAAATTCCTAAGAGACAATATGAACCTTTTGATCCCAAAATCACACAAATAATAGGGCTTGACAAGTACTGTGGCACAGTTTACTAGAATCACTGGAACCGGTTTTGGCTGTAAAGTTTTGCACAATTTACAGTCGTCATTAAAAAGCTGACCCCCAATATTTGTTTTCCTTTAAGCAAACAGCAAAATCCAAGTCTACGTTGGGTCACTCATGGTGTTTATAAAAGGAGTGCCCAGAATGTCTCACTAAAACCCCAGGGTCTTTGTAAGGGATCTTCCTCTTTTCCCTGTTAACCAGCCCTGAGGAATGGGTTCCTGATTTAGACCTTCCACCACCCCAGCCTCTGCTGGAGTAGCAAAGGTCCCACTCCCCGTAACCTGGCTGTCATTAGTCAAGTGATTACTAGAAAGAGCTTACAGCAGGTCAGGGCAAACATCTAGCAGAGCATTGAAGCGGCCAGAGTCCAGGAATGTTATAGAGGCCGCTTGCATCCCACTTGCCCACAATCCTGCCCCCGCCACCCAGAGCGCGGCTGGGTCTTCAAGGCATGCACCCACCTCCGGCCAGAAAGGAGCGCAGCCAGTAGAAATCCCTGCGGGCTGTGGGCCCTCCAGCTCCTGCCGCCTGCGGCATCGCGGGAGGGGGGTCGGCCGGCGCCAGGGCTGCTGCTGCCACCGCCGCCGCCGCCATCAGGACCAGGGTAGTGTCAGGAGCCTAGGCTGCAAAACTTACACAACACCGGTCGGAACCATAGCCCGACCAGATGGCAACAGGAGGCCGACAGCCCCGCCTGCGGGGCGGAATAACACCAGGCGGCGCGGCGCGGCGCGGCGCAAGCTGATGGCGTATAGCAGGGGCGGGGCCCGAATCACGCGCCGAGGGAATCGGGCGGGAGGGGCGGGGCCCGGACACGGAAGGGGGAGTCACCCAGACTTGTAGACCTCCCTATTCGGCCTCACCCAGCGTTGCTACTTCCGTGCTCTCTACTCTGGCCCCTTCTGTTCAGACGGAAAAAGGGAACCGTGGGCAATGAGATGGTCCCATCAAAACGCACAACCTGGCCTGGCGCGGTGCCTCATGCTTGTAATCCCAGCACTTTGGGAGGCCGAGATGGGCGGACCACCTGAGGTCAGGAGTTCGAGACCAGCCTGGCCAACATGGTGAAACCCTGTCTCTACTAAAAATACAAAAAGCCGGGCGCGGTGGCTCAAGCCTGTAATCCCAGCACTTTGGGAGGCCGAGGCGGGTGGATCACGAGGTCAAGAGATCGAGACCATCCTGGTCAACA